GATACTTTTCAGAGGCCTGCTCCCATTCTTGTGGGTGTACTTCTTTTCTACCTTCAATAAATGTAAACCATTGCTACATTTTCCACATGTCTTGCCTTATTCTTTGTTCAAGACACCAAAAACCTGGAAAAAAATCTCTGCAGGACTCAAAAGTTGGTAACAATAGTAGTAGTATTTATTAATGAACTTATCTAGTAAAGTAGATTGTGAATTACACAAGCAAAAAGAGTGACAAATGGACTCTGAAACCCATCCTTCAATTCTAGACCTTAAATCATCTACCTTCATTAATGTAATTTCAGAATTGGAAAGCTCTCTAAACCAACAAAAAGGCCTCTCTCACTATCTTCTGCTAATATATGGCCAGTTTTAAAGTTGACTGATGACTTAGAGCATTTCTAAGAACACATAGTGTAAATGTTTTAAATACCATGATTCTGAGACTTATTTTAATTAAATTAATATTTATTGTTAATAAATAAATAAATTAATATTTATGTTTAACAAACATGAGGTTTAAAATTAAAAACATAAAAATTCATACAAGAAAAGTTTCTAAATCTCCTTCCCATTTTTATCTGTCTGTCAATAGGTTACTTTCCAAAAAAGACAAGCTGTGTTACCAGTTACTTGTTGATACTAGAGATACTCTACATATACATATATGTAATAATATACTTTAAAGCAAGTTTAGAACACTAACACTTCATTCTGCACCTTGTTTTCTTTAGTTAAAAATGTATTTTGGAGATCATTCCATATCAGCATACAAATATGTAGATAGAGCTATTCTTTCTTTTTAATAGTTGTATAAAATATGATTGCATGGAGATATATCATAATTTATTTAATCAACCCTCTACTGATGAATATTTACTTTTTAAAAATCCTCTACTACTAGAAAAAAATCTGCAAATAATCCATGTATACACCATGTTTTACAAGGTATAAATTTTTTTTTAGGATAGATTCTTGAAGTGCAATTGATGGTCAATGGCTATATGTATTTGTATCTTGATAAATACTTGCAAATAATCTTCTTGGAGGCTGCACCATTTTATATTCTCTAAAAATGCACAAGACTGCCAGTTTTCTAGCCCTTTGTCAAATATAATTTGTTATCAAATTTTTGTTCATTGCCAATCTGATATTATAATTGTAGTTTGGATTTGTTATTATCAGTGAGATTAAAATTTTTAACGATATATTTAAGAAACATTAGTGTGTCTATTTTATGAAAAATCTTTTCATACATTTGCCTCTATTTCCACTGGATTATTGGCCATTGGTCTTTCTATTAACTCATAGTGCTTTACTATATATTAAGGAACTTAGCAAGGCATAATGGTAAACATAAATGGAAGATGGAAAAAGAAAAAAAAGCCACTAATATTGAATCTAAATTGCATGCATCCCCCCAAATACTCACTAAAACATAAGATATTAAGATACCCTAAGCTTCTTTCAAAAACATTGTTTCTTAAAACAATGTTTATTAATACATGTTTGCAGTACACAATGATTACAATCCTTGTGGAGAATTGGTACATGTACGTAACATATCACAATTCTTTTTCCAAAGCATAGTTTTAAAAATCTGTGTTCCTAGATCCGGGCCTGGTGGCATACCTCTGTAATCCTAGCACTCAGGAGGCTGAGGCCGGAGGATTGCCAAGAGTTCAGTGCCAGCCTGAAATACATAGCAAGACTCTGTCTCAACAAAAACAAACAAAAATCCTTAACTCCTTCCTCTATTGAAAAGCCATGTAGACAACATTACTTATTCTCTGGGGTAAGTCCTAGGGTTACAGGCATCAAAGACAAAGACACACTATAGATTGGCATTGGGCTGCAAAGAGTAAAGAGCACCATGGAATTTTTATGACTCATGGCCCCTCACATCCTTCAACCATTGACCACTTTGTGTGTTGAGGATACAGTGGTGGAAAAGACTGTAAAGGATATCCTTCCTTGGTGAATCTTGCAGTCTAATCCAAACGACTTACCACTTGGGAGATTCAAAACTTATATATATTTAGAGGAAAGTGACACAGTTACAATGTCAGGCAGAAAGCTAGTTATTAGCAGACTGGAGTGGTACTCGAAAAGCAAAGAAGATGTGATTGTTCTTCACTTTCTTAATCATTACTTATAGATAGGATCCACACAAGCTTGTGGTTTGAAACTTAGCTCATGAAGAAAATGGAAAAATAGGAACAAAATCTTTGTAAATTTGGAGGAATGGAGGGGTTGAAGGGAGGGCTGGGCAAGGGTGAAAAATAAGAACCAAGAGAGACTACGTAAAGGTGCAAATTTCCAATGATGAATGTCATTATATTGTATAACTAAAATGCACCAATGGTTAGAATGAATAATTGATAATACAAAATAGGAAGAAAAGGTCCAAAGGGGTAAGGGTAGTGGGAGGGACAGGGGAAAGGAAAGAAGGGAAAGGAAAAATGATGAAAAATGGAAATAAAGTCTTTGTAAATAGGGAAGGGTGGAGGGGGTGAAGGGAGGGCTAGGAATGGGGAAAGAATAAGAACCAAGATTCATTATGTAAATGTACAATTCCCAATGAGAAATGTAATTGTGTTGTATACCTACAATGTACCAACAAAAGAATTTAATTCAAAAAAAAGAAACTTAGCTCATGAAAAAGTAGCATCCTCTAAATGTGTTGATAGGGTCCAGGGCCCATATAAAGCTCAGACCACTGAAGAAGTATTGGAAAAACTTCAAGGTCTCAAAATAAATGGAGACATTCACCTAAGGAGTAAACAGAGACTTACTTGGTACACATAGCCCACTTTATATGTACAAGAATAATAGGGGTTACTATAGGGATGGGGAAACAGGCAGAATCCTGGGCTCTTGCCTGCTGCTCATTAATAACATGATTTGTGTTTTCTCCTAAAATAGCCAGGGACTTAGAAATCAGTTTTGCTACAAAGCATGACTCTTCATTTGGACCTACAAATGCCCAATAGGTAACTGAAAGAAAAAACATGAGTAATCAGGGCTTGAATCTGTCAGCAACAAGGTTGATTAGTCCTAAAAAAGCACGAACTCAATTCCCTCCACTATTTTGGTCACAAACCGTACTGGACTAGAATCGAATCAAATTTTCCCATAAGGTCAACATTGAACCTAACCATTGAATTTTATTTGATTCTCATCCAACTTGGTTTCTGACCAGAATCAGGTCAAAAATCAAGTTTGTACCGCTGTATTTTCACTCCCTTCAAGATTGAGAACAGCAGGATAGAGAATTTTGAAGGATATTTAACTGTGCCTGGAAGTCTCCAGCATTGTCCTAAATATGTGATCACCTGGATTTCAGACGAAGCAGAGCTTCACATGACTAGGACTACCACAGACAGAGACAATGCTTTCCTGGAAACAAAACCATCTCTCAGCCATAAAAATTCTGCAACCATAACATCAGGACAGAGATGATGATGAACCCCGACCCCAACCCACTAGCTAATCCTTAAAAGCTGGCCTTCTCCCTTGGTAAAGGAGGTAATCTGAACTGCTGTATCAGAGTGTGCGCCCTCTAGTTACCTGAGCTGCAGTCCTTTCTTCCCGCTAGAACTTTTTTCTCTGTAAATTTGTATTTTAGTTTTAATTTCTATTATTCCTAAAAGCAACGACCCAAGCTAGCCAGTGGCAAAAGGAGCATATGAATTCATTAGGAAGGATGCAGATCTTAGAGGAGAAGCAGAGGGTAGCCGGTATTTGCCTTGAGGAAGTATATGAGGGTACGGTGAGCAACTGGCCAGGGACTGAGTGCCTGACACTTGATTGCCCTTTTTCTTGGTCAGCTGTGGGAACAGCATGATAACCAAGTGAATTCCTGTTCAGAAAGAGAAAAAAAAATCAGTGTGACAAAAAGAATGATTCTTGGTGCAAAGGTCTAGAAAGGCTAGCTGTCTGGAAGAGAGGAAGTAGTGAGGAAGTCCTTTCTGAATTCCCTTGAGAGCAGTTCCCTTTAATGTCTTTCTCCCCTTCCTGGTTTCATGAAGCAGTGAAAGAAAAACATGAGATAACTAGCAGGGACTAGGTGGCTTGAAATGGTGTTTCCTCTCCCAGTCTGCTGTCCTGAGAGACCATTCCCCCACCCCCCAGAAGATTTTTGGGAAAACTATGCTGCGTCAGGCTTAAAAAGGGCCCATTAAGAGGGGAGTTGGTTCACAGCGACAAAGATATATTAGTATTAATTTTATTTCAAAAGAATAAGCGTTGTTCTCTTCTTCCCCAAGTTCAGTGCATATTTAGGTGGGAAAAATATCATAGGAGTGGGATACACCCACAGAGAAGAATTAATGCAATTTTTTCTCTATTCAATTCTGCTTTTCCCATATTCTTATTGCACGTTACCTAAGACTATTTCAATATAAGAATTATGCTGGGCAATAAAGAAAAACATTCAGGCAAGAGCAATAAGAAAAGGCAAAAGGGAAGAGACTGGTATTAAACTGTTAAGTTAGGCCACAGCAGCTTTCCAGACTTCATACATATGAAGTAGAAAAGCGCTGGGAGGAGCGGTTTGAAGGGCTTCTCTCATGGAGAGAAAACAAAGTTTGTGGAATAGATTAGAAATTATACTCCTATCTCAGTTTTGAGCCTTTCCCCTCTACTTTTTTACCTTGAGACCCTCCCTTAACCCGCCCACACCGGTGAGCTTTGGAGAGGTGATTTTGTAAACACAAAAATCAGTTATATTCGCCCGCCTTGTCAGGCCAGACCTAATTTACTAAGGACACAGTCAGAAGTCTACATGCATTTGTTTGGAAAGAAATTGTAGTGCGGGTTGGGGGGGGTGCACAGAGAACTTAATATCGTGATGTTTGTCTGCTTCTCTGCGTTCCGTGCTGTTTTTCGTAGGTCTGAAGCCAGCCTGGGGGCATTCCGGGCGGTCTCCAAAACGGAGTGGGCGGGTCAGAGTCCACTGACTGTGGAACAAGCCTCTAAGTAAAAGACTGGTATCACTCTGCTTCCCTAAGCCCAATCGCCTTAAACCACACTCCGGCTCATCTCGGTGCTGATTTCCGTACGGGAGACCTGGCTGAGTCTAGTCTGCGGAGCAAAAAGTAGATGTTGATTAGTCAGTGTGCGGGTTTCTGAGGAGCCCCGGGAACTGGAAAGAGAAGACAATACTAAAAAATGAAAACAGTTCGCCACTCCCAGACCTTTATCTAATCATAAGTCCTAGGTGCCGATCCAACTCCCAAACATGGTCGCCGCCATTGTCTCGGGTCCTTGTGACTGACTGACTGTACGTCCCTCCAGTATGGCACGTCACCCCTTGATGAGGAAGAAAGAAAATTGCCTCTGAGGCAAGCAGAGAAGGTCAGTGAGAAGGCGGACATTGCTTGAGGGTGTGAGTGTGGATATCAGAGATGAGGGCAGGATGTGTGTCCTGGTCTTGGGAGGTGGGCGGGGAAAGGGACTAGGGTAAAATTGACCTGTCGCCAGCTTCCAGAAACTCTCCCCTCTTCAGACCGTTTGGAAAGAGAATGGGCTGTAGTGCCGGCTTCCAGCGGGGAAATGGCAGACTATGTAAGAGGGGATGCAGCTATTGATGAAGACAGTTGTCTGAGGGGATCTGAGAGGGAGAGAGCGTTAAGAAACTATAAATGTGTGATAATCAAGGACCCGAAATCGAACAAGTTTCATGTCCTGGTTACTGGTCTATTAATAACCACGTCTCTCACGGTCTTTTCATTTGATTTCTGGGTGTGTATCCTGCGTTTATCTATGTAGATAGATTTCTAAGTTTGTAGCAGTCCACGTTTTTGTAATGATGTGTAAGAAGCCGCAGACCCCAAGGAAAGAGGAGAAAAAAAATATTGGCCTGTTTTCTGTACCCTACGCAGTGCTTAAAGGTAGTAGATGACCAAGTCTAGAGCAGGTTGAGATCTACAGCAATCACATGTCCTCCCCTACCCCATCAAATTGCAAAAATTAATGGGCATTGGGAGAGAGAAAGGAAACGTTAAGAAATTTGGAAATATTTTGTTGTCCTAGCTTCCATGATTTGTTTGGGCATTTCATCCTAACACCACTATTACCTGCAGTGATGTTTGAGTTGCCTCTGCACTGAAATTGTCAGACTTTGAGAATGGAACAGAGGGATCTTGGAGATTTGGGAATTTGGGAAGAAAGGGAAGTAGAAAATGTTTGGTAAGCAGATACCCTTATTTAGAAAGCCTAGGTACTGGTCTTTACTAAGGACTTAGTGTCCATGATCTCCTGTGTCTCTGTGGGTAGATCTGTTCCTGTTTATACAACTGTTGATTGTTGTGAAGGTTTGTAAAATAACCCAACCCGAAGCTAGGAAATAATGGAAAAAAACTGCCCTGAATTGCTAAGGTTGGTGTGAGAGTACAGGGTCAGGGATGACTAAGGCAGAGAATTCCCACTCTTCTGTTTTATCAGCTTAACAATGACTTCTGTGTGCTGTCCTGCTGATTTAGTTGGGGATACAGAATATGAAGACCTGCCTTTCCCACTCCCCACTTGCTTGTTTTGCTCTCATGCTTCACTGTAATCTAATTGTGAACTAGAGAAGTAGCTGATAATCATTGAAGAGGAAAATGGTGGGTTATAGGGAGGAAGAGGGACTGCTCTGAAGCAGGACAATGGGGGAGGGAACCAAGAGGAGGGAAACACTAGGAAAACTGTATCTTGAAAGGCAAAAATAAGGGTTAGGGACCAAAGCCTCTACCAAGAGATCAGTTTTCATATGCTCCTATTTGTTTATTTGTCCATAGGTCTGCTTGTAGGTCTGCTGTAGGGCTTGTCACCATTGGAAGCAAGGAAAGGAGAAGAAAATACTTCAGATCAATACAGGTTGGTATGAGTGTGGGGACTGTCTGGGTAGACCCGTAGGATGGACTAATAGAGATCTCCTTGATTCCAACAGGGTCAAGAGCCAGTGTAGATATTCCTAGCCTCTCTCACTCCCATGTACCTTTCCTACCCTTTATGCTCTTTCTATTGCCTAGAAAGGAGATAGGTAGTACCTAGACATGTAGAATATGGGTGAAATGAGTTTGTTGATGATCTGCATCTCCCACACAACACTGAATTTCATACTTTCCTATTTCTCTGCTAATCAGTGTGAGGAGAAAAAAATTGGGAGAAACTTAAAGCCCCATTTCCTTCTTCCACCTCTAGGTCCAACTTCAGTGGCAGATCTGGTGGCCTTGGAGTGGCTGAAGACCACCATCCTCACAGGGCTGCACCCAGGCACAGCCATCCTTCTTTACCTTGAATTTGCTTCCTTGGCATGTTGTCCATACCACCAGAACCTGTAGTTGGAAAGGGAGCTGAGTGACTACTGGACTTTGTATGAAAACATTAACTTGGGACAGACCTTCAGTCAAGGCCTGCACAGGGATAGGACAACATTATCTGGTATTGCTTTTAACTTGGGCCATGATTAATTCTAGTGCTAGAGAAAAAGCTAGAGAAGAGATTGGGGATGGCCTGAAAGCTGAAATCAGTGGCCCTGACAATGCAGGAGTGAGGGATGAGGCTAAGGCCATGGCAGTGGTTGAGGCAGAGCCAAAATCAGAATTAGTGACCCAGGTCAAGTTTGGGGATGGAACAATGGCCATGACACAAACAATGACCTACACTGAACCTGTGACTGGGACAAAGGAAGTAAACAAAATGGAAAATATGACTGATAATAGAGTCATGGATCAAACTAAGACAAAAGTCCTTCTAGAGCTTGGTATAGTGCCCCAAACCAAGTCAGAGGCTTCATCTATGTCTAGGCTCAGTGCTATAACTAAGTCTACAGTCAGGGTTGTTTCTGGCAGTGAGGCAAGTTTCAGGTCCTGTTCCAAGGCTGATGATAGGGCCAATATTGTGTCCAGATATGAGACAAAGGAAGAGACCAGCATCAAGTCCATGGCTAGGAACAAAGTTGGCATTGGAATAAAGTCCACTGATGAAGAGGAAGAAAATATCTGCTCCTGGTTCTGGATTGGAGAAGAGCCTAGTGTAGTGGCTCTGGTCTAAAGAAGAAATCTCTCTTCAAATTTATAAGTCCCCACCTAAGATCCAGGAAAGGCCCAAGCCCACACACAAATCAAAACTTACTATAAAACAAAAAGCAACAGCCTGGTCAAGGGCTAGATACATTGTCCTAGTCCCAATTGAGGGAGAAGAACAACCCTTGCCTCCAGAAGGAAACTGGACCCTGGTTACAACCTTGATTGAAACTCCTCTGGGAATTCGGCCTCTGACCAAGATCCCACCTTATAATGGGCTTTACTTCCAAACTTTAGCAGAGATCAAAACACAGATTAGGCAAAGGGAAAAGTATGGGCCTAATCCAAGGGCCGGCCTCTGCAAATCACATTGCTTTAGCTTAGAGCCTAAAGAGTTTGATAAACTTGTTGCTCTACTGAAGTTAACTAAGGATCCTTTCATTCATGAAATAGCTACAATGATAATATAATGGGCATCAGTCCTTCTTATCCATTTACCCAAGATGTAATTCATGATGTTGGTATTATAGATATGATTGAAAACTTGATCAATAATCCCAATGATCATGAAGACTCTGGAGATTTCGATGTGGTTGATAGTAGCTCTGAGTCTTCTGAAGAAGGAAAAATGGGTGAGTCATATATATACACAATTTGTAAGAACATAATGTATTGTTCTTTGAACTCCCCTGTGCAACTGGCTGGGATAAAATTATTAGTGCACCTGAGTGTGAAATTTAAGAATCACCACTTAATTGTCAGTTATATTCCAGATTTCCTCACATTGCTAAACAATGGAAATGTTAAAACCAAGTTCTGTATTTTGAAAGTATTTTTATGTTTGTCTAAAAATCAAGCCAACGTAAGAGAACTGATCAGTGCTGAAGTACTATCATCATTGGTTGCACTTTTTGACAAGAGTGAGTCAAAGGGCCTTATTCTTAGTATCCTGGAAATTTTTGAGAATATAAATTTCCAATTCAAAAAAAGAGCAAAGCTGTTTACCAAGGAGCACTTCACTAAATCTGAACTTATTTCCATATTCCAGGAAGCAAAAGGTGTTGGTCAGAAACTCCATAGCTTAGCAGAGCACAGTGATTACGAGGTGAGAGATAAAGTTATACAATTACGACTCAAACTTTGAGTAGCTGTGTGTTCTCAGAGCCTTTCATGATGCCAATGCATATTATAATTTAAATACTTGCATTTTCTGTGTTGATTCAACGAGCCAATTTTATGAGTACCAAATAATCTTGAGAGCTTGAACATTTGTCAATTTTTTATTGTGGTATAGAACATAAATCAAGATATTTTTTAGTATTTCTGCAACGTGACCTGACAATCATGCTATTCTATGCTTTATATTGATATAAGCATATTCTTCAAGATTTTATTTACATGTTAATAAAGTTGCATGCTGAAGCTGGTGAAAATTTTGTCCTAGTTCTTCAGTTGAATATAGTCAGATGGATAAAGCACAAACAATATAAAGATGGTGAAGAGCACTATCCGTATGGGTTTATCTGTAGGGGGTGCAAGCAAAACAAGTTCACATTGGAAAATTATTTAGTTTGAGCATGTTCAAACTGTGATCAAGAAGACCAAATTGTACTACTAGCTTTTTGTAGGTTCCATCTGATAGGTTTTCAATACGGAGAGCAGTGTTTGGGCAGTTCAGGGGAAGTGGTCAGGACAAGATTCGGGAGGAAGGAAACACAGATGCTTTTGTCTGTGAGTCCCAGAACTCATAGACATAGGCATAGACTCATAGACATAGGATGTCTTACCTGGATGCCTTGAAGCTTTTCAACCCCTAAGAGGATTCCTTGATCTCATCACCATTCAGTAAAGCTGGAGGAAGTGTAGTTTGGAAGGAACCCAGCCCTGTTGTGTCTTCTCCTTCTGTATAGAGAAGTAATAGATTTACTCCTTCCTCTGAGGTTGTCTTCCTACTGCAGTCCTGAGCCTCAGAGGAGGGTCTGGGTAGCCACCTACTGAAATTATGTCATAGATAGTCTCATATGTCTTACCTTGGTGACTGTTAACACTCATTCTTGCTTTTGTTTTCTGGCCAATTCTTTGTATTTGGTGACTTGTACCTATTTGTGATGGCAGCCTCTTGTTTGGGCTGATCCTTCTTGGTCAGACCACAGCTCTATGAGTGAAATGGTGACATGATACCAAAGTCCTATAGGCGTATATAGTTAGGAAGAAATAAGTTCCCCTAATTTCACTATCATATCAATTTGCACAATTTACAGAGTTGAAGGCATATTGTCTACACCTCCTTAGCTTCTGTTTATAATTAACAAAAGCTAGGTTCTTGGCAGGGGTTTATGGCATAGGATGACAGAATACAAATTGGGATCTGGGATCACCTCTGCATCTTCTACCCACAAACTCCTTTGCTGTTATTGTTCTTTTTAATTTACTGCCCAGCCTAGAGAATTATAGATATTAGGATTAGTGTAGAAATGCTGTTTTTTCTGATGACTATCCTCTCTTTCTTAACTTCATGCATTTGGGGGAAGGCCTAGCCTGAAAAATGTCAGCATAATGGAATAGCAGAATATATATCACTGGTTTTAACAGCTATCCCAAGTTTAATTTCTGTTTTGTTTGGTTTCATTTTTTTGAGACAGGATCTTGATTTGTACTTCAGGCTGGCTTTCAACTGACTATGTAGCCTCGGCTAGTCTTGAGCTTGCATCAATCTTCCCTCAGCCTTCCAAGTGCTGGGATTACTGGCATATGCCAGCACCATGCCTTGCTTCTAAGTTTTGTTTGTTTGTTTGTTTTGGTACCAGGATCGAATTCAGGAACTTGCACTTGAGAGGCAGGCGGTGGCACCACTGAGCTAAATCCTTGGCCTGCCTGGCTTCTAAATTTAATTCCTGTGAAGGTCAGGTGTGAACCTGTTTTTATCTAGGAGTTAAAATAAAGAACAATTGGCCACACTTGCATTAAGAGGGGAAAAAAGTAAGTTTATTTATTTATTTATTTTTTGCAAAGCGCACCTTCAATTTAGGTAATTTTGGGGGGGGGGTACCGGGGATCAAACTTAGGACCTTGCACTTTTGAGGCAGGCGCCGGAACCACTGAGCTAAATCCCCAGGCCAGTTTAGGTGATTTCTGAAGTTCTTTATAACCTGCTTTTTTAAAAAAAATTTATTTTATTGGTACATTTTAGGTATACAATATAATGGCGTTCATCATTGGAAATTTGCACCTTTACATAATCTCTCTTGGTTCTTATTTTTCCCCTTCCCCTGCCCTCCCTTAAACAGCTCCATCCCACCCTATTTGCAAAAACTTTGTTTCCACATTTGCATTTTCTCATATTAATTCTATTCCTTTCCTTCCTTTCCCCTACCCCTCACACTTCACCCTCCTCTTTGGCCCCTTTCTTCCTATTTCACATTATCTTCTATACCTTTTAGTGTCCTTACTTACACTTTCAGTTTCTCACACTAGAGAAACTATTTGGTATTTATACATATGTCCTACTTATTGCACTTAAGAGTATCACCTCAATGTGCATCCATTTAGCTATAAATGTCTCCAAAATTTTCATTTTTTATGGCTGAGTAGTACTTTTTATTAAAAAACCCACATTTTCATTATCCAGTCTCCAGTTGATGGCATTTGGGTTGTTTCCAAATTTTGGCTATTACGAATTGTGCTGCTATGAACATGGGTGCACATAGATTACTTCGGTATGATTCTTTTAATTCTTTGGGGAAGATACCCAGCAGGGGAATAGCTGGGT